AATTCTGAGAAAAAGTCAGAATTCTGATGGCACCTAGTCTCTAAAACAGACATGGCTATGGCTTGATGCTAACATGTTTGTTAGCTGTCAGAATTCTGAGATTAAAGTCAGAATTCTGAGAAAAAGTCAGAATTCTGATGGCACCTAGTCTCTAAAACAGACATGGCTATGGCTTGATGCTAACATGTTTGTTAGCTGTCAGAATTCTGAGATTAAAGTCAGAATTCTGAGAAAAAGTCAGAATTCTGATGGCACCTAGTCTCTAAAACAGACATGGCTATGGCTTGATGCTAACATGTTTGTTAGCTGTCAGAATTCTGAGATTAAAGTCAGAATTCTGACTTTTTACCCATATTAAACTGAAATAAAATTAAAAAATCTGTTAACTTTTTTTTTTTTCAGTGGTCCTAATCCTCTCCCGTATATTTTAGATTATATTTGAGTTCTCTGATATTTCTTGTTTGCCCTCTTGTGTCAGTCTCTTTTTCCCTAGCTCCCTTCTTGCCGCTGTTCACACCGGCTCCCAATCGGCTAATTCTCTCCCATATATTCTCCTCCTGTTCAGTCACTCTTTGCTGGTTTGTCCTCATTTCTTTGCCCCCTTCTTGTGAGTATTACTGGTTCTCAGTTTTTGTGTATTTCTGTTTTGGATTTTTGCTTCAGTTGAACGTCTGGTTAATTAAATCTTCAAGAAACAACTTCAGCTTTTGTGTCTCCGTGTGGGTCCTCCTTCAAACCTCCACCCCCACTTGACAGCCATAAATAAAAATGCACTTTTTTCTTCCTGCCTCCAACTTCCTTCTGGAGATGTCACTGAAGGCCTGCTTCCACATAAATTGGTTTTTAAGTCCCCCTAGTGGTCGAGTGCACTTCTATTACTGTTATAGCAACTATGCAGCCTTTTCTTTCTTACTGATATGTTTGCTTCTTGTAGCATTTTCCTTTTGCAGTGTGTTTTTCTGTTTCACTGCATTTGGCATACTTCATTAAGTTGCTTCATATTTGCGCCTGTCAGCCAATTTACTCCTTTTCAAAGCAGTGTTCTTCTTGCTGTCACAACAGCTGGTTTTGACACCTCTGGTATGAGAGTCTGGACTAAAGTTGTACTACGTTAAACTGAAGCCTAAGGAGGAGTGATTGACTTTTAAAAACACCTTGATGAAAAAACCCAAAGGGTTTACACAAACCTTAAATGACCAGTAATCCACGTTTTTAACTGTTCTTGATTCCAGTAATATTCAAAATCACAGGCATTTATACATAAACTTCTATTCATCTATAAGATATTTGAAAGAGAATTAAATAGAAGGTTTAATAAGTCTTTCAGTGTGGTTTTAGTGCTCAGCATACTTAGGAGTAATGAACTTGTACCAACTGTGAATTAATTAATTGCTTAATTTAATGCAGCCGACCACAAAATTTACATTCTCGTTTAGAAGAAGTAGGTTTCAAAAGTATTGCAATGGAGTGGTATAAAACTTATCAAGCAGAGCAAATGTTCTCCAAGTTTGGTGATTTTGAGTCATCCTCCCTCTTTTTATTATGGGTCCCCACAAGGCTCAGTGTTTTCTTCTGTTTCCATTTGTCTGCTACACTTTAGCTCTTTTTATATGGAAACATCAAGTTTCCTTTCACTGTTATGCAGATGGTTTCAAAATGTATCTCCTGCCTAAAAAAGTCAAAAGGTTACCCATTAGATTATTTTTTTAAAATGCTTTGATGATATAAAGGCATGATTGGTTCTAAATGTTCTGAAATTTAGAAATAAAAAACAGAAACAATGTTTTTTTTTTGTATAATTAGAGCCCTCCTCCTCTAAATCTTGACATCTTGGTTCAATCTGTTAGATCTTTCATCAAAAACTAAGGATTTCAAATGAAAGCAGACCTGAAACCTGATGACCAAATTAGGGAATTTGTAAAATCAAACTTCTTCCATCTGAGGAAGTTAACAGAAATTAATTTCTTTCTACCAAGGCAGCTGTAATCCAACCAGACTGGGATTACTGTGAAGCCTTATTTTTAGAGATTGGGAACACATATATTAGGCCCCTGTTGAGTGAGCACTTCACTCCTGCTTTAATGTTACCCCATTGGTTGCCTGTATATTTCAAAATCCCTCTAAAGCTTCTTTTTTTGTTTAGTCTTTTTTTACTTCTTTAGATGTTGGCTTTTAGTTTTTGTTTCATATTAAATAATAATGAATCTATAACATTCTTAATTTCAAGGATGGATTTTAAATGTGTTTGTTTTAGCTGGTCTGTTTCCAATATTATAGCAGTTTGTGAACCTGGTATGTGAACAACTGGAGCAGCTCTAAACAGAACAACAGGGTGAGAGGTTTTTAAATGGCAGATCCTCGACTACATCCCTATTTGCCCCCACCTGCTATACAGCATCATGTAAAAGCAATAGAGGCAAATGCAAAGTTAAAGATACATGATTCTTAGATGCATTCAGCATATTGTTAATGATTCTTAACTTATTCCTAAGGTTTAAGCACTTTTCTCGATAGATCATTATAAATTATACTGAAGTTTTGGTCTTAAATTAATTTTAGGGCATCACAGGTCGGACCTGAATCCTAAGGTAATTCTTACGTTGTGTGAAATAGTTGCAACAGAACTTTTAAACCAATCTGAATAATAATTTTAACTTGGAATGTGTGCAGAAAAAGCTTTTCTTTTTCTTCAGTTCTTTGTGAATGTTCACTATATAAAGCAACTGAATTGAATGACATTACTGTGTAGTTTAATCTCAATGGAACATCAAACAAACTGTGGCTTCATCCATCTCTTGTTTCTGGCGTGTTGATGAAGCCACATGAAACATTGATGCAAAAACATAAAGCTGTATTTGAAAATCTAAAGAGGTCATGCTTGATAAGTTTAACCGCACACATTGTCCCGCTGAAGCACATGTTCTTTTCTAGCTACAGCATTCAACTTGGTTCCGGTTATTTAATTGACTAAAAAAAATTTTTTTTAACACCCATTAGTTTGCATTAATTTCCAGCAGCAAAACGAACTATAAGCATGGCTGACAAATACAGCAAATACAGAGTGTCTGTCAAAGGAATGAGTCCCCTGATGCTTTAGAATCTTTTTTTTACTTGATACAGCATGGAGACTTGATTAATTGGTGCAAAACGAAATTAGCAATTAAAGCCTTTTGTTGTAGCTGTCCCACAACAGATGCTATCAGCGTTAGGTGCACTGCTCTATTTCCTGCCCTGCTACAACCTTCATGTCCTCAGATAGCAAAAAAACAAACAAAAAACAAACCACAGAGATGAAGATGGTTAAAGCAGAGCCATCCGTATGCTGATTAAAGCACGTAGTAAAAAACAACTAAATCAAAAGGCCCTTCAGGCAAAACATTTTTTTTCTATGCGCTACAAATCATCAGAATCCAGACACATGATGAAGGGAGAACACACTTTTTCTCACACACACAATAAGGCAACAATAGAACAAAGATAAAGATCAGATATGCAGGGAGGAAACCACAGATAACTAGATAAGGGATGAAGGCCTATAATTACACAGCATCTTTCAAGAATCTCATTTATTCACATTTATTTTAAAGGTATCACAAATAAACACACATTTTGATACAGAAATAAATAAGTAGCTGTGAGCTGAAGCAAAGGATGAAAAAAGTGGATTCTTGAAGAGCCCTTGGTCTTAGCGTAGGGTTTCACTGGCCCGACTCGCTGCCGTTCAGCTCCATGTAGGCCGGACCTGCGATACGAATCAGTGAAACTTTGTTAGAGTTGAGATTTTAATGTGCCAGACAGCCTCTCTATAAAAACTTGTGAAAATTCTGACTCATATCAATCATGTGGAAGTATCTGTGCGTGTTAGCGCCAGTGTGTTCATGCTCTTTTTATTTGAGGGTGTGCCTGTAAATCTGTGTACCTTGAACCCAGCCGCTTGGCACTGTTGTTTTGTCCAGTGGATAAGTGAGGGGAACTATGCCAAAGTGAGAGACCCTGTCCCTTCTGTAGTTCTGAATAAGAGACTCCAGAGTTTCAAACCTCAGCAGTCGGCCTTTCAAATCCTGTTTAACACACGCACAAAAATGACAGAAATCCTCTTTATTTGTTTTTTTTAACATTTTGTTCAGACATGTCAAATTACCAAACGTGATTTTTTTAAAATCTAAATCATAACCTCAATTAAAATTGAACCACCTTGAAAATGCTAGATAAGTAGAATCTAGAAATTCCTTAACTGGAACCTGTATGACAACATGAAGCAGGCTGAAGATCTCAAAAGATTAAAAAGAAAAGTCAGAATTCAAGTAAATTTAAGTAAAGAAACAAAGTAGCTGAAATTTTTCAATCAGGAAAGACTTGTAGATGTAATTTCTAAGGACTGATATTGTCTTTAAATGGAGAAAACAAGGTAAAAAACCTTACCCAGGAATGGCTGACCTACCAAAACCACTCCAAGAGGGCAAGGAAAATTAATATAGGAGTTCCTAAAAGAACCCAAAACTTCATAAGAAGCGCTGTTTGTTAATTCATTTGATCGCTTCACGATTCAACAATAAAACATAAACTTTGCAAAAATTGGAGATTTCAAACGTTTGGCCACTGCTGATCAAAAAGAAACCTTACATCACAAAAGGCCCTTCTCACATATATGAAAAGTATTTTGTAGACTGAAGAGAAAAAAAATCAGACTTTTTATCATTTAATATCAATATTTCAGAAAAAGAACCCCAAACAGTGGTTTTAAAAAGTGGTGGCAGTCTGATGGTCAAGTTTCTGCTTTCTGTAAGAGAAACCTCAAGGCGAACAATCAGCCACCAGTTTTAACCTTAACCTCAAGCATCCTTGAGATTTTGTGGCAGAATAATGACCCAAAGCTCAGCAGAATGTTTACGTCCGAGCTGCTAAATACTCAAGTAACTTAAAAAGGTTGTGGGACGGCCTAGTCAAAGTAAGGATTTAAATCTACATTGCTGCTAATTTTTTTAAAAACTTTAATGTCTAATCTCTTCTTTCTTTCATCTTTTCTCTTTTTTATTCTTTTTTCCTTTTCTTCTTCTGTTTTTCTGCTCTATTTACATTGCAGTGTCCATATAAACTGTAAAACTCCCTGCGTAATTATAATAAAGCAATTTATATGCATGAAACAAGTGGAGCAGTATGGCAATTGCCATACTGCTCCACTTGTAAAAGTAAAGTCTGTTGGGCTCTTTTTGGCATCAAGACAATTATTCTTATTGCCACATTGCCAGACAGGACACTGTTAAAAAAAAAAAAGACTTTTAATGGAAACTACCATGTTTGGCACCACGAATTATTAAGTTTAAACATTATTTTATCTTAATAAATAAATGCTATTTAAAAGCAGTTTTTAATTTACAATAGTTTCTTTCTTTTGTCAGTATTCTTTTATCTGAAATACTTCAACCATAGTGAAAAAAGCAGAAGTAGAAAAAAGCTTTAGATAGCTAAAGTGTTTTTTTTACAGCACCGTAGAGATGAGTGGAAAGAGTGGTTGCGTCTCAGTGTGTGAACGTGTTTGATCTGCTCTGTAACGTTCACCCACCTGAAGGTACCAGCCATCTTTGTCGCGCTCCACCCTGTAAGTGTGTACATAGGGCGCTTTCCTGTGAGACAAAAACTCTGTTATTGAAGTTCTGCTAAAGCGAAGTAGCAAATGTTTGAATCAGACACATTAAGTAACTGACGATCAGCACACTCACTCTGAAACCAGACACAATAGTTGTAACATTACTTTCCAAAGCTTAACATTTTTAAATTTTAGTCATTGGTTACCTTATCTTTTTTATTTTATTTATTTTTTCTTATTTATTGTGTTGTTTATTCAGAAATAAGACATTATTTTAGTTCCTTAAGGACCTGTAAGATGTTTGTCAATCAGATCAGAGTTACAAACTTTTATGTAAAAAAACAAAATTTCTTCTGTTTATCCCAATTTTTTAATATCTAGTGTTAATAGTGTCTTTTTTTAGATATAATTTACCTTAAAAAAACAGAACCAAGGCTCCTCAATTGCACAACTGATGTGTTTATCTTTTTTTTTTTAAATAAACTCATCTTTTGCTGACTTGTTATGATGTATTCTGATCACAGTAATAATGTGTGAAACACACCCAGACCACTTTGTCCTACACTTGGTCTCCCGCCTTACAGTCTGTTGCAACAGGATGGACCGAGCGCTAATGAAAAACTCTCTAACTTGGACATATAGTTGTATTAGTGGGTATTTGCACCTCTGACCTTATCAAACGGATCTGCAGAAACAAGAGAGTGCTATATGTCATTGCTTCATTATGTGTAAAATGTGAATTTGAAAAGATAATTATCAGATTTATTTCGAGATAAATATTTCATATCAGTGAAGCGACTTAGAGTTCTGATAGAAATGTAAAGTTTTGTCGTTTAAGCCACCATTTAAAAAAATTCATTATAACCTTCAGTATTGGAACTATAGAGAGACAGCCTCTGAGTCCAGATACATGAAAACAGGCTTTCCACATCATAAAAACATTTCCTTTAGTCAGAGATTGTATTAAATGTCTAAAGTAGGGGTCAACCAACCTTTGTAAGGCTGAGGGTTCGTTCATGGGTACTGAGTCATAGGAAGGGCTACCTATGAACTGGAGGGATTAGCTTTCCCCTTAACCTTATACATAATACACATATTTTTATTGCACTGCAAAAGCAACACAAAAATAAGTAAACATTTCTTAAATTAAGTGTATTTATCCTTAATTTGAGTCGGTAAATGAGATAGTTTGCCAATGGAATGAGTATTTTTACACTTAAAATAAGATAATTGGATAAAATGCACTTGAAATAAGACAATCCAATTGTGTTTTCTTATATTAAGTGTAAATTGTCTTGTTCCATTGGCAAAATGTC